CCCCTCCCCTTCCCTCTGCTTCTCTCCCCTACCCTCTCCCCAACCCACCCACAACCGAAGCTCTCTGCTGTAGCCCATTGTGGAGGGCAACGGCGACGGTGATGATGCACGCAGCTGCTCCCCCACCTCCTCTTTCGACTCCACTGGAGTTTGTCCGCAACGTCGCCAAGCGCGCCCACCTCTTCCCCTCTTCACATCTTCATCTTCACCTCTTCCCATCTTCCCCTCTTCACCTCTTCCCCTCTTCCCCTCTTCCCCTCTTCCCCTCTTTCCCTCTTCCCTCTTCTTCCCCTCTTCCCTCTTCTCCTCTTCCCCTCTTCCCCTCTTCCCCTCTTCCCCTCTTCCCCTCTTCCCCTCTTCCTCTCTTCCCCTCTTCCCTCCCTTCCAATCCTCTACCCCAGCCCGATGCAGGCGATGACATGGGAAGCACCTCCTCCACCTCCTCCTTCGACTCCACGGAGTTTGTGCGCAAGGTCACTGAGCGCGCCCGCCTTGCTGCCTCCGCCTCTGCCAACGCTGCCTCTGCCCTCTGCCGCTGCCACTGCTGCTTGCAACACAGTAGACGGGGTGAGTGGGGGATGGGATCGGGGTGAAGGTGAATGTTGTGGGGTGAGTGGGGGGTCGGATCGGGGTGAAGGTGAATGTTGTGGGGTGAGTGGGGGATCGGATCGGGGTGAATGTTGAGGAGTGGCCAGGGGCATGGGATTGGGCATGGGATTGGGGAGATTGGGCATGGGCATGGGCATGGGCATGGGCATGGGCATGGGCATGAGATTGGGCATGGGCATGGGCATGGGCATGGGCACATGGGCATGCATGGGCATGGACATGGGCATGGGCATGGGCACATGGGCATGGGCATAGGCATGGGCATGGGCATGGGCATGGGCATGGGCATGGGCACATGAGCATGGGGCATGGGAATGGGCATGGGCACATGGGCATGGCATGGGCATGGGCATGGGCATGGGCATGTTGGGCTTGGGTATGGTCCCCACAGAAATTACCTATTCAAGCTTTTCTGCCACCAAATTCGTGCCATTATCGTCGTTTCAAGTGTTACTTTTGAGTCAACTTAAAAGTCACCCCATTATCGTCGTTTCAAATGTTATATGCCAGAGCTCCAACAAGAACCATGTGGTATCACCTAACGTTTTCTACTCCCTCTTTCCTGTTTCCTGTTTCCCCATCCCCATCCAACCACACATTTCCCACCTCCCTCAACCATCCCCCCTTCACCCCTCCAGCACCACACCCCCACAGATCTCTCCCCCAACTTACCTCCTCCTCCTCCCTTCACCCCCTCCCAGCCACCACTCCTCCTCCCTCCACACCCCCTCTCTCTCCGATTCCCTCGATCCCTCCTCCCACTCCTCCTCCGCAGATTGCCGTCGCTTCTCCCTCCCCCAACTCCTCGAATCAACCGACGGCTTTTCCGACAGGAACCTTCTGGGAAGGGGCGCGTATGGGCCGGTATAACCGGGGCCAGCTTTTCGGGTGTCTGGTGGCGATCAAGAAACTCGAACAAGGCAGCGACCAAGGCCCGGCGGAGTTCCGAACCGAAGTGGAGGTTCTGAGCAAGGTTCGGCACCCGCACATTGTGCTCTTAATGGGTCACTGCCCCGAAGAAGCTTGTATCGTGTACGAATTCCTGCAGGGCGGGAACCTACAGGAGCGGATCGTCCGAGCAGGAGACAACCCTCCGCCGCCCCTCCCCTGGCACGATCGTATCCGAATCGTATCGGAGATCTCCGGCGCGCTGCTCTACATGCACAGGCACGACCCGCCGATCCTCCACCGAGACTTAAAGCCCGACAACATTCTCCTCGACGCCAACTCCATCTCTAAAATCGCCGATGTGGGTCTCGCTCGGCTGATCCCCAACGAGGTCTCGGCAGTTACCTGGAAGGTGCGGGGAACCGCAGGGTATATAGACCCAGAGGAGCTTCAGACCGGGGAGCTGTCGGTGAAATCGGACATCTACGCGTTTGGCCTGATAGCGCTGCAGCTGCTGACAGGTTTAAAAAACGTGAAGCTGGTGCATGGGCTGCTGGCGGCGTGCGGCACGGGCGCGAGAAACACAGAGGAGGCGACGGATTTGGTGATGAGGAGCCTGGATCGGTCAGCTGGGAAGTGGCCGGAGAGGCTGGTGAGGAGGGCGACGAGGGTGCTGGTGCGGTGTATTGAGAGGAGGAGGGTTAATAGGCCAGATCTGGGGGTGGAGATTCACCCGCTGCTGGGGGAGATTGCAGAGGAGGCGATGGAGGAGAAGAACAGGCGGCTAAGGAGCTTGACGGGCGGTTTGTCTGCCCGCTGTCGCATGTAGGTGTTGTTTCCTCGCTCTCTCTCTCTCGCTCTCCTCGCTCTCCCTCTCCTCGCTCTCTCCCTCTCCTCGCTCTCTCCCTCTCCTCGCTCTGTCCCTCGCCTCGCTCTGTCCCTCTCCTCGCTCTCTCCCTCTCCTCGCTCTGTCCCTCTCCTCGCTCTCTCCCTCTCCTCGCTCTCTCCCTCTCCTCGCTCTGTCCCTCTCCTCGCGCTCTCCCTCTCCTCGCTCTCTCCTCTCTCCTCGCTCTCTCCCTCTCCTCGCTCTCTCCTCTCTCCTCGCTCTCTCCCTCCTCGCTCTCTCTCTCCTCCTCTCCTCGCTCTCTCCCTCTCCTCACTCTCTCCCTCTCCTCGCCCTGTCCCTCTCCTCGCTTTTCTTTCCCTCACTCACACGGGAGCCATCTGTTTCACAGTCAGGCACGCACACATGTGCACATGTGCATGGAAGCACGGATGGAAATCACTTTTGAGAAATCTCGGCTATATGGAAATCACTTTTGAGAATTCTCAAAAGTGATTTCCATATTGCATGGAAGCACGGATGAAATTGGGTTAGCTTTTGTCATTTGTAAAACTCTGGCGCTGACGACGGCTCCGGCCGAAACGCGTACGCCTACAGTATTACCTGTGACTCATAGTAGTCCTGGTTTCTTACCACTCTCTTTTACTCCAGCAACTCACCCACCCCGTTAGACGTATTGTTTAGCTAAAGCCTTCAGGCGAATTCAAGCTTGCTGCGGTTCGAACCCTTTCAACTCTGAACAGGTAGCACCGTCGTCCTCTTCCCCCCCCCCCCCTCTCTTCCTATTCACAGGAGAGGATGCGGGATCCGGTGGTGGCAGCAGACGGGCACACGTGCGAGAGGGAGTACATCGAGGCATGGCTCAGCACCAGTGGGGTGTATCCTGTCACTGGCCAGCCTTTTGGCAATTCATGTGAAACCCTCTCTTCCCCTCCCTCCTACCCATGCATACCCATGAATACCACAGGAGAGAATGAGAGACCCAGTTGTAGCAGCGGATGGGCACACGTACGAGCGGGAGTACATTGAGACGTGGCTCGCGGCTCGCCACCAGTGGGGTCTCGCCCGTTACCGGGCAGCCCATGGCAGCACAAGTGAATGTTCCTTGATTTTTTTTTCCCCCTTCCTTCCGTGACTATTGCAGGAGAGAATGAGAGACCCAGTGGTGGCAGCGGATGGGCACACATATGAGCGCGAGTACATCGAGGCATGGCTCGCCACCAATGGGGTGTCGCCCATCACCGGGCAGCCCCTGGCTCACCGCGCCCTCACTCCTAACTTCATCCTGGCCTCGCTCATGGACTCCATGTGATGCCATGGCGTGTCATGCAGTGTCATGGCGTGATGGGGTGTGATGTGCAATGTGGTGTCACGTGGTGCAATGTGGTGTCACGTGGTGCCATGTGGTGTCATGTGGTGCCATGTGGTGTCACGTGGTGCCATGTGGTGTCACGTGGTGCCATGTGGTGTCACGTGGTGCCATGTGGTGTCACGTGGTGCCATGTGGTGCCATGTGGTGTCATGTGGTGCCATGTGGTGTCATGTGGTGTCATGTGGTGCCATGTGCCATGTGGTGCCATGTGGTGCCATGTGGTGCCATGTGGTGCCATGTGGTGTCATTCGGTGTCATGTGCTGTCACGTGGTGCCGTGTGTGGTGTCATTCGGTGTCACGTGCTGTCATGTAGTGTGTTCTGATGGCATATGGTGTCACATGGTGTCTTGTGATGACATGTGATGACACATGTGTGTTGTCTTATGTGCTGTCATATGAAGGGTTGCCGAAGCAAGCGTTTCCAAATCAAGGTTCTGACAGCATTGACTCAGAAGAACCACCAATGGTGTGCATGTCGCCCCGGACATGGACCACGGGCGAAAGTCCCAATCAGCAGCAGTTTCAGTTCACTTCACCACCATACCGTACAAGTTACAACTGCAGCATGGTGTGATCTGATGTACCACCATAGCTACAATCCTGATGTACCATATTCAATGTCTTGTTAGTACTGTAATAGTGTGATTTGCCATGTCTTGGCTTTGTGCGGCTTGGATTGAATGAGCGAAACTGTAGATTGCCCCTTGTGCTAACTTTGCATCATTGCTTGAGGCACCTCCCTGTGCATGGCTTGCAGGCCTGGAACAACGCACTTCCCAGAGTTTCTAAATAAGTTGGACAAAAAACCAATTTGCTCTCCCCCTTACCCAGCCCCTGCCTTCCCCCCACCCACTACCACCTCCCTCTCCTCTCCAGAGAAACAAGCGAATAGAGAGAGATAAGGACTATGGGACAACAGGTGAACAAAAAGGACAACAGGTGAGAGGGATTAATATTAACTTGATACCAAGAGGAGCGGGAGAAGAGACGCTACCACAGGAGGCGAACAGGAGGGAACACGATGAGGAGCGGGGGAACCGATGTTAACACAGGAGGCGAACAGGAGGGCACACGTCAAGGAGCGGGAGAATAGACGTTAACACAGGAGGAGGCGAGCAGGAGGGAACACAATGGGGAGCGGGAGGAGGAGTCAGAAAACTGACAGTGCCAGGGGGGGATGGCTTTTGAGAATTCTCAAGAGCGAATTCACAAAAGAGAGAGAAGTGGGTCGAGGAGACAGACAGTGCCAGGGGGTTGAGGAAACAGACAGTGCCAGGGGGGAATGGAACGGGAAGGAACAGCCCAAGTGAAAGGAGCAAGTAGCAGGGAGCAAGGTTGGCGGAATTGTCTAGGACAAGAGAAACAAGAGATGAGGTTGACTGGCGGTACGAGCAAGAGATCGCCCCTTGACTGTTGAATCAAAAGGCAGGTAAGTACAGGAGCCAGAGAGCACGCTAGAACGCGAGTCGGTCAATACCACACAGTTCGGGAGTAAATTTGCTAGTACAACATGATAAGAACAAAGCAGTACATTCCAGCAATATTGCATGCCGTCATCTCGTACGCGACATAAGATCCACACGCGAAGGTTCTCGAGTAAAGAATATGAAATTACATACGACTCAAGACGTCGCCTGTGCTCATAACAAACTGTAGATCCGGCACGGAAGCGCATGTCGTCACTTTTTAGAATTCTCGAAAATCATGTCGTCAATGCCCAGACGGCTTGCTTCCGAGTTTCGACGCCATGCCGTCAACAAACAGGTAGACGGCAAACGCCGACACGGCAATCCCAAAGCCAGGGAGGCCGTGCCGCAGCTGGTTCTTCAGGAGCGGGTGGTGTCGGTACGCGTCATTACGCCTGAAGAACTCACCCGGTCCGCTCATCGTGCTGGCTGGATTAGGCGGAGAGAACGAGAACAAGCTAGGTCTTTAGTCGCGAAAGCGTAAATCAGTCAAAAGTTTTTTTTGGACATAAGAGCGAGGTGCCCTAACTTCTGCCACTTGCGACATGTGCGAATATCGCGGATGTCAAGCGAGTTACAAGCACTGCTTTCCACACCCTCTCCTTAGGGAGAATCGGGAACTGGTAACGATTGTGTTTCGCATTGGAAGTACGCGGCAGTGGGGAATTTCGTTTCAGGGGAAACAAAGAGAAACGATCTAGCAGAGAATGTCATATTAAAGAAACAGCTCAGCCCTTGTGAAGAGAAAGACACACCCTTTAGATAATAATTCTGTATCAAGACCCTATGGTTTTTCATTCAGGGGAATATGGTACAGCGAATATTGGGTACTCTCTGAAAGAATAAGGTACAACCAATATGGGTACAATGCCTGTACACGCATACCAAAATTGTTACTATCCAACAACAAATGACGCCTTGATTCCATCGCTACAGTCACTGTTGGCTTTGCTGCTGAAATAAATGGTATTGCCGTAGTCCTTGCCGACCACCTTGTAGATGTACATTCCGTAGTTACGATTGCGCGCGAGCGTCTTCGCGTTCAAGAACGTGCATGCAGTGAAATCTGCCGCGTCAACCTTGTGCACCGAGTGTACCTCGCCCGACCACTGGAACACTGCGGGAAAGGAGGCGGGAGAAATTCAGGGGCATCGGAATGGGAATAATGAAAGATATATACACCTCAATTGCACTACATCTAGCGCAAGTCACCCAACTGGAACATTGCAGGAAGAGGGGTTGGGTCAGTGGGAGGTATGCTAGGACAGAGGAAATGGAAGGGAGTTATCGATGCAATTATTGGTCTACATACTGCATTTCATTCTCTAGAAAAGAATGAACGAGGGGCGAGCAGGATTATTGAGGGAAGAAAGGGAAAGGTATGCATGTGACATGTATTATATGTCAGAGGGAAGAAGAGTATCATTAGCGATATGTACCTAGGTGATATATAGGGGCAGAGAGTAAGGTCCATTACCCTTGGACCTCATGGTGTTATACTCTACTACGCAGCATCTTTGTTGCAACCCACTCTGCACCATCTGTACCGCACCCCACTCTGCCACCATCTGCACTGCACCCCGCTCTGCACCATCTGTACCGCACCCCACTCTGCACCAACTGTACTGCACCCCACTCTGCACCATCTGAACCGCACCCCACCCTGCACCATCTGTGGTGAGCCTCAGCTCTTAATCCTCAAAACCCATCCCTCAAAGTCGCAAGGACCAGAAATGCTTTGGAAGCACGGGCTGTGCTGTGCAGTGCTTCCACAGCAGGCCCGTGCTTCCAGAGCAGGCATGGGGTGCCAGAGCACTGGCCCGGTGTGTTCCAGTGCAAAACGAAAATATTGTGATTTTTTTTGCTGGGTGGCTTCGGGCCGACTTTGGCCGGATCAAAGGCCCGAGGTGCTGGGATACCCAAACAGGCTTGGGTTACCAGAACAGGCTTGGGTTACAAGAACAGGCTTGAGTTACCAGAACAGGCTTGAGTTATTGGAACAGGCTTGGGTTACCAGAACAGGCTTGGGTTACCAGAACAGGCTTGGGTTACAAGAACAGGCTTGGGTTACAAGAACAGGCTTGGGTTACCAGAACAGGCTTGGGTTACCAGAACAGGCTTGGGTTACCAGAACGGGCTTGGGTTACCAGAACAGGCTTGGGTTACCAGAACAGGCCCCAGTAAGGAAGCTCACACCTGCATCACCAGTGTGCAAGGTGAATCACAGCAGAAGCACACAGTCTAGTGCAGGTGACGTTATTCAGTCGTGAAAACCTACCAGGACACTGTGCGGAAACATTCTGCCCTTTCAGTTCTAGCAAACAATACCATTCCTTCCGCCGTCACCCCGCCTTCCACCCTCTCGCAAACTACCATTGTCACTCATTGCACCTGGGCGGTGGCAGCAGCAGCAACAGCAGCAGCACACCCAACAGGCACAGGCGCGTACCTAGCAGGTCGCCAGGCAACACCTTGGGTGCCTTCCAGTCCTTCATTCCAAAGCCCCATGGAGACAGCCACCGGCCGTTGTTACCCCCCACCCACACCATCTTCTGCACGCGGGGAGGGAAGGGGGCGGGGGAGGGATGGAGGCGGGGGAGGGATGGGGGCGGAGGAGGGATGGGGGCGGAGGAGAGGCGCACATAAGTGGGGAGAATCCTGAGTGGACTCAAAGATAGCCCCGTGGGGACAGCCACCGGCCGATGTTACCCCCCCCCCACACCATCTTCTGCACGCGGGGAGGGAGGAGGGGCGGGACGGAGATAGGAGGGAGGGCGGGATGGGGAGGGAAGGAAGAACGGAGGGGAGAGGAGGGAGAGAGAGAGGGAGGGAGGGGAGGGGAGGGAGGGAGGGGGGGAGGGAGGGGAGGGAGGGAGGGAGGAGGAGGGAGGGGGGAGGGAGAGAGGGAGGGAGGGAGGGAGGGAGGGAGGATTACGAGGGAAGATAAGGGGTGTGAAGAAGAGAAGGGAAGCAGAACGAGCATGTCTCGTCTCACATATGGAATGAAGGGAAAGAGGGGAAGGGTGAGGGAGGGGGCCAGAAGGGGGTGGGGAGGCGGCTCTACCCTGCGCCTCGGCGCCGCCTGAGAAGGAGCGGCGAATGGCGGTGACCGTTGATCATCGTCAGCGGAGAGCACGCGCGCGAGGCGGACACACCGGCGGACATGCGGAGGCGCGACGTCGGAGATTGCGGAAAGGGAGAGGGAGGGCGTCGAGGGTGGGACGGAGGGGAAGAGGGGAAGGGGGGAGAGAAATGGGGGGACCCGGGGATGAAGGGGATGGGAGGGTGGGGGGAGAGAGAGTGGTGGTGAGGAGGGAAGTGAGGAAAGGAAGGGGAGGAAGGGGGAAGGGGGGAAGAGGGTTGCGGGTGAGCAAAGTGGAAGAGATGGGAGGAAATGGGACAATCTGGGGAGGCGGCGGGAGAGCCTTGCGAGTATAGGCGAGGCGCGTGGTACGGTGTGTGGATGAATGTGGAGTTCGAGAGCGATAGGGCTGACGTTTAAAGCGGTAAGGCTGAGTATACAAGCGGTGCGGCGGAGTTTCACAGCTTGATAAAGAATAGGACGCGGTGGCGCCTCGCAAGGGAGAGCACGTCGACAGGTAAAAGACAGCGCGGGCTCTCCGATTGCACAAATGAGTGAAGGGCACGTACCGACGAGGATAACGAGGGCAGCAAGGAGGAGCCGCAGATGATTGGTTGCGCGCACCATGATTATGAACACTGGATGGCTTTTTTACAGGGCAGAAGGGAACTTGTTCGGGAGGATTGCGAAGCTGTCGGGCGGAGCGGAAAATTGTTAATTCGCAGCGCTACTTCGTGGGCGGAAGCAGAAGCGGGAATGAAGCAGGTTTTGTTGAGAAAAATGGGGCGCAGAACAATTTATGTTCTTGAGGAAAATGTGTACGACAGGGTAAAATTTACTGGGAGCTTTAGGTTCGACATAGAAGACTAATGTTTCTTGGGAGCGGGAGGTTGGGTTGTTGGAGTATGGTCGGTGGGCGGTGTGAAGGGATGATGTGGGAGGTTTTCGTTGGACATTGAAGAGGTCGGCAAAGCAGGCGCTGGTGCTGCTTCTATGGGGCTGATTTCGGTGGAGAGTTCATTGAGTCGTCCCTACCGTGCTCATAGACTTTTAAATCCAGATGAACCGCACAAAACATGAGCGTTTTCCGAGCCACGTGAGGGCATCTTTGAAGGGGGGGATGCACTTTTTGTTGGTGTGATGTGAAGGGAAGGGCAAATGTGAATGAACGAGGTTGAGGAAAATGTCGGGCAGACACATACCACGCTGGTTGGTTGAAACCAATTCTCACGCTGCCTTTTGAGTGAAAGAAATCAGGGCTGACGAAAACCATTCAATTCGCGCCGCCTACTTGCCCTTCATGGCGGCAGAGGATGCCCGGAAAATTACAGCTACATTGCCTGCCAGTCTGTTCACGCATCTCCTTTTTGTCCCGAACTGTTTGGGGTGGAGGGGAGAGTTCTGCGCCGCCAGAAAATATGTCACATGGAGAGTGCTTGTAGTGAGCGCACTAGAATCGACTCCATATTCTGTACACCAGCACGAAACTACACCAGCACGAAACTATCAATAGGTTCCCTAGCACGATCGCCAATTCTGATTCTAGCAATGTCAGATTCTCCTCCCTTGTACACCTAGCTCCAACGCATACAGCGCAGTGCACTGGGCCTTGACACCATTCATAGTACTCCCGTATATAATACGGCTGTATTCTGGTTCTTCACAGCCAGTTACCTTCTGATATATCGCTATGATGACGTGGTATGATGGAATTGTTGCACAGGGTATGTGAATATACCATAACATCTATCTTACACGAATGGCAACTTTTACCCCAGCTGCGCAATCACTTCCCACGCTGCTTGCAAAGTAAAGGGTCTTGCCCTTGTCGTTAGCTTTCACTTTGTAAGTCCTCACACCGACAGGTCGGGCAGGCGATATTTGTTTCGTGTTGAAGAAACTGCAGAGGCCGTATGTTACCGGGTCTCCAAACTTCTGCACATCATGTGTTTCTCCAAACCACCTGAACACTGCCGGATGATGGGAAGAAGCAAACGTGGGCAAGTGGGGTGAATTGATACATTGGATAACATTATTTATGCCAATTTCAAGTAACAAGTAACAGACTGTAATTTCAGGAGTTCTTACCGAGCAGGTCTCCGGGCTTCACAGCAGGCGGCGACCAGTCGCCGACCCCCAATCCCCAGGGGCTGACTACCTGGTTGGTCGACAACCCGCCTCCCACCATGACTGGTCGAGACTGAAAGGAATGCGCGAATTCAAAGGGAGGAAACCAGACGCACAGAAGTGAGTAGCTTCGCGTGCGTGGGGGCGGATGTAAATGGATTTAGGAATCATGTAGTCAGGCAAAGATGTGACGGGTAGAAGGATAGTCATGGGACGAGGGACTGGGAGGTCGCATGATGGACTGGGACATATCGCAAAGGGGACCGAATTCATGCAACCAACTTCCAGAAATAGTGGCCCATTGACTTGAATATGAAACTAAACCGCATTAAACGTTCTATGGGCTAATTCGCCGCCTTCCGGCCTGGCGGTCTGACTGCCGAACGACAACTTTCGACTAGACGTTCAAATGAACTGCAGAATTTTCAAGTCTCACCTGTGCGGGAACCATGCCTTCATGCGGGTAGTAGCGGCGTCGAGCACGAGGAGAGTGGCCGTGGGAAGGGGGGCAGTGGGGGTTGCGGACGTGGGAACAGGGGGGAGGTGGGGTGGAGAAGGAAACGTTCAGTGGAGAGCACTTATTGTAAGTTTATAGCCTTTTCCGAACAGAGGTTTATTTCATTAGCACAGGTGCGACCTCCGCCAATCACACGATGGCAGGCAGCCATAGACGCTTCGAGAAATGCGACGGTGTCTATGGCTGCCTGCCATCGGGTAATTGGGACCAGTACGGACAAATTAGCAAATTAGCGGTGTCTTCTGGCTGTTGGAATTGGGGCGCGTCAGAAGACACCTGCCATCGTGTAATTCCAGCAAATTAGCGGTGTCTTCCGGCTGCTGGAATTGGGACCAGTACGGACAAACTCAGTGCGAAAGGAACGACTTGCACCAAACGACTTCTCGAAAGCGTATGACCCAGTGTTGGGAACTCACTTGCACACGCGACGGCGAGAAACAACGCAGCGACGGATGCGCGCTGGATCTCGAGCCGCTTCGAGCCCATGGTGCTTGCCGTTAGCACTATGTGAAGCTCGGATTCTAGGCGTTACTCGACGGATTCAACGGCGAAACTCAAGGGTTTTGCGGCTTGATTCAAAGATGTAGTGCTGTAACTCGGTACAATGAATCCGGTCCAGTAAAAATCCTGGGAGACTCGGACTAGTCGATTCGAATTCGATTTCTCCCGATGTCAAGCTTGAGGGTGTCTCAAAGCGTGAGGACTCTAGAGAAGATGCTTGATAAATTTTTGAGTCGACTCAAAAGGACTCGAGAGAAGATGCTTGATAGACAAGCGCCTCAAAGCTATGGACTACGACTTGACCCGGTTGTTAGTAGCGGAATCAGTAGCTTATGCTCTCGTAGAGAAGTATTATGTAAGACCTTGGGTGACAGTTGATTTCGAGAAAATAAATTCCTAATGCAGTGGCTGAAGTTCTTATGGAAGCTATTAGTAGTCACGAAATGAATCGCTCCTGCTAACAGGTACTTCCCTGAAGTTCCCCTACCACGCGCGCTGTTAGCAGTATTAGCATGCTTTGAGTCAGCTCGACCACCAGACTACACGCCAAGGCGCCAGGCAAGCGATCAAGGCTGACTCGTTTGCCATGGCGCTTTGCAGGGTAGATTCAATCCCCACCGCCAGCACCGGCGCTGTCGGCTGCAGCTGCTGCCGACAGCCTAGCAGCAGCAACGCTGAAAGGCTTCCCGCGGACTGAGAAGGTGCGGGTGGGGCCTGTGGGATCGAGTATGGAAGACGCGTCATCGGCGTAACTGGAGCGAAAGCCGCGCGCTTGACAGGGTGAAAATTCTCGTGAACTTCACAGGAGCTTCGCGATGCTGGGGAGGGGAGTGAGGCGAAGCGATGGATCTTGTGTTGGGGATATGAGGCCACGGAAGCCATGGATGGTTGTGTGGCTTGCTGCGGGGTACTCCCACACTCCTGATTCACTAGTGGACTGGGCGATTCGGAGGTGAGATTCGTGCATTACTGCTGATTACGGGGGGCGCCAAATTTGGTTGGCGAATCGTGGAAAACGATATGAACGGCCTGGATTGGGTTACAGAAAATATTTGTACTGCGAACGAACCGCGAAAATCCGGACCGCGAGATACCCTGTTATAATCTCACTCAGTTAATGAGATAACCACTCAACGGTAAATATACGTGCGTTGGATCCTGCAATATTTCTTTCACTCTTGTTAATTATTTCCTATACGGTGTTCCCAATCGAATGTAATAGCACCCAGCTCTTGCTTTACTGAGTTAGGATTAGCTCTTGCTTTTGAGAAGGGCTCATACGGTATTAGCATAACAATCTGCGTTATTAGGTTGAACTCCACTCCAACTTTGTGTGGTATGGATTTAAGTTGGTATAAGTTCACTTGCGTTAAAGCCAGCAGCTAAAATAGTGACAACCCCCCCCCCCCCCCCCCCCCCCCCCCCCCCCCCCTTCTAGTTGGGTCCACTTGAATTCTTAAAATGAGGGTCTAGATTTGCCAGTGGGAGGTTTAGAAGTTTTTGGGTTGCGAAGCAACCCTTTACGATCGATTTTGACAAATTTTATTTTCATGTCAAAAAACATGAAAAAAAAATCGTAAGCTACAGTTCCACCCTTCCATTGTGCATATACTACACTCATTTTTTCTTTCTTGTAGTGGTTTTTGTGCATAGATTCTATACTGTTTGCATTATATATTTGTTCTTGTTTAATGGGACAATTGCAATAGATGTTACGAATATTAGTAAAAAATACACACCATGCATGCTTAAATGAATGCAATGAGACAAGATATATAGATGCATAATACTGATACATGGATGGAAATGATTTTGTATGAGAAATGCTAAATGCGACATACCAGTATATCATTATCATACAAATGCGTGACAGTTAACAACCCAAAAACTAAGCTACCGCCATCCCCTGCCTAGCATGGGGGGGAAGTCAATAGCAAAGTCTTTGAATAATCAACTAGCACATGAAACAATACAATCTGTTAACTCTAAAAAACAAGTTCACTCTATCAAATCCAGTTCGAAGTGGCAAACACACGAGTCACTGAGTGCGCCAATGAACCAATGAGAAATGATAGAAATGAACCCATTTTTTAAAATTGACAGACATGCATTGATATTGCAATGATAAATGAAAAAAATGCACACACACAAGCAAACACATTCACATATTTGGAGAAGCACGAACACCGGCAAAACCAGCAAAAATACGCGATAATAAATAACATGCAAATCAACGTTAAAATGACAATATGGTAAATCCTATCAGTGACAAATGCGCTTTTTCCAGATTGAAATCGCATTTCTGACCAGCAGGCTCCTGCGAAACGAGTTCAGGAACGATACAGTAAACGAAAGAAGAGACTATAACGAATACAGAGAGCGAGAGCGAGAGAGAGAAAGAGGACGGGAGAGAGAGGACGAGAGACAGAGGACGAACGAGAGAGAACGAACGAAAGAGAACGAACGAGATAGAGAGGACGAACGCGAGACAACAAACGAAAGAGAACGAACGAGAGAGAGAATGAACCTAAGAGAGAGAACGAGAGAGGGAGAGAACTAGAAAGAGAGAACGAGAGAGAGAGAGAGAGAGAGAGAGAGAGAGAGAGAGAGAGAGAGAGAGAGAGAGAGAGAGAGAGAGGGAGAGAAGAACGAACGAGAGAGAGAGAATGAGAGAGAGAGAATAGAGAGAAGAGAGAGAGAGAGAGAGAGAGAGAGAGAGAGAGAGAGAGAGAGAGAGAGAGAGAGAGAGAGAGAGGGAGAGAACGAAGAGAGAGAAGAGAACAAGAGAGAGAAAGAGAGAAAACGAGAGAGAGAAGGAGAGAGAGAGAGAGAGAGAGAGAGAGAACGAGAGAGAGCGAGTAGAACGAAAAGAGAGAGAGAGAGAACGAAGAGAGAGAGGAGAACGAGAGAAAGAGAGAAAAACGAGAGAAAGAGAGAAAGAGAACGAGAGGAGAGAGAGCGAGAACGAGAGAGGAGAGAGAGAGAGAGAGAGAGAGAGAGAGAGAGAGAGAGAGAGAGAGAGAGAGAGAGAGAGAGAGAGAGAGAGAGAGAGAGAGAGAGAGAGAGAGAGAGAGAGAGAGAGAGAGAGAGAGAGAGAGAGAGAGAGAGAGAGAGAGAGAGAGAGAGAGAGAGAGAATGAGAGAGAGAGAACAAAAGAGAAAGAGACGAGATAGAGAGAGTGAGAGATAATTCATAACTACGGTTTCAAAAGAGCCTAAACTGAAGAGCAAAAGGTGGAAGAAAGATGTGCAAATACGAGGAAGGAATGATGCACTAAACTAATGGAAGTCATGATGAAGAACATAAGAATCAGATGCAAGATTATGTACAAAGAATATGTAAAGTATTTACAAAGCGCCAAAGAATTGAGAAAAGAAATGTGAGAATGGAATGAAACTAGAACGAAATGGATAAAGTAATTATGCGACAATTCTAGATGTTGTGAAAGTGAGACGAAAAACTGGCATTGCAGGCTCTAAAGAAAGAACGACCTGGTTGGTCGTCGAAATGGATTAAGACCAGCAGTAAAACGGCTAGTTGCTAAGTCTAAACGACTGAAACAGACGATAATGATCAAGACAGATGTATCTACTATCATCTTAAGTTTAGAACGCTCACCTAGGTAGTAGTAGCTGAGAACAGGAGTCGGGGGAATCATTGGAGTAGCTTGGAGAAGTTGAACCAGAACGAAACCAAGCAGAAAAGGATTCACGAAACCCTAGGTAGGTATGTCTTTCGTCGATAAGTTACGAAATAAATATTATTTCTTTCCCTACCTCGGTGTCGAAATTGGCGTAGTGGTGAAGGTGATATTGTCGAATTGGATGGTCTGGAGATCGATCCTTGATGCGATCGAACCTTCGAAACCAATTAGTACAGTTTTTGTAAACCTCAGCCTAGAGTCACATACTCGGTATAAGTAGTTAGGTAGTCATGCAAAACGAGATCCATAGTAATAGAAGTTGTATAACATATGTTGATAATGCAAAAAGCTTCGCAACCCTATGACGACGTCGTCGCCTCTTGTTTTTTTGAACCAGGCTTGCCAGCGCGAAAGTGTTGGCAGGCGAAAACCTGGATTTCGTGCGGACACTTTTCTTCCACAGTAACACCTCGCCAGGGTTTAGGGTTTCGGGTGGCAAATGTGCACCGTCGCTTTAACAGAAAGTTGGGTGTTATAGTTTTTTTTTTTTTTTTGTCAAACGTGTTCGATATTCGTGTGAGTCTTCGCATATTTTATCCAACAAAAGGCGTCGCAAGCATTTGCACTGCAAATGTGTCGCAATTTTGCGACACGCAAATCTCATTCACATGCAGTGCCAATTTCACAGATGTGCGATTCACGCACAGCAAAACGCCCCATGCACGGCAGCGACAGCAGCAACAGCCGCAACCGCAGGCCTTGGAGCTGGGACCATCATGTGCGGGTGTGTGCAAATAGTGGACCATCCATTTCGTCAGTCCAACCTGGCAGCCAGCATCTTGACCCATGGCTCGCTTCCATCCGTCCCATGTCCTGCCATGCATCGCCGCCCATCCTTTCACCAGGCAGCCACACGTTGCTGTGGGTTGACCATGCAGCACCTTGCAGCACCATGGAGCACCAAGCAGCACCACGCAGCAACATGCCGCACCATGCAGCACCATGCAGGAACATGCCACACCATGTAGCACCATGCACTATTCTGCACTCCCATGCACTGCCATTGACCAGCAGGAAGCATGCTTGCACATAGGAATCCATCCTGCCATGCACAGTCTATTCATACATCCATCCATGCACAGCATGAAGCATCCTGCCATCCATCTATTCACCCATTCCGCCATCCAGCCATCTTCCCACCTGACCTGAGCCTAAGCCCTCTATAAACCAAGCTTGCTCTTCACCACAGCAGCAGTGAGGGATTGGTTAGAAGAGTAGAATGATTGGATGGCTCTGTTTCAACTTCATTCTCCCATGCACAAGCCCCTTTCCCGCCCGCCCGCCAGGCAGCTGTCTGCCCAGCTGCTAGGTTTCATGGGCTGGACCACATTCGTCCTTCACATAGGGTTCCTTGTCCTAGCAACTTGTGGCCCCATGCCACTGTAGACCTGAAGACTACAGGAAAAACGAACCTACTTGGCAAGGTGTTGCCTGGTCTCGCGATGCTGTTCAGGTGCACTGCCTCGTGGCGTTTCTGTGCTTATTTTGTTACCACTTGACACAAGTAGGAAATTTAGCAATTCACTAGCAATTTAGTGGCTTGTTTGATAGGATTCGTGTTGTCCTATTTTAGTATATGCGATTGCTTTCACTATCATTGAAGGTGTAGTAACTCCAGTCTCGAGTTGGATTTTAGAAGAACATGGACCATCTCTTCCCGCCAAAACTGCGAGGTGACCCGCCCTAACCATTCAGCGTTGACGCGGTTGCGGTTGGCTTCGGCAGGAGGAAGGGTGGGCTGAACACGCTGTTCGACACGACCCAGCGTCTCGGCAATTCCAAGGGTTACTTTCAAAGCGTATTCAGATTATAGAAAAAAGCATCTCGGTTGAACTGCTGATTGCACCGTTCCGTGTGGATTCTGGTTTGTCGCTTCACGTTTGCTAAAAGAAGCGAGTGACCGCGAGGAGTGATGTTTTTATGCTAGAACGATGTTTTCAAGTGGAAGCTTGGGAACACTCCTCTTCTGAGGTAGTAGCATCCTGCAGGCATTTTCCCAAACTGACTGGCCTACCACGTACGACCAACCAGTATCATCAACTCACCAATCGCATCTCATTTCACCTCACCTATAACCGGCTTTTTCCTCACCGCGTTTCTTCTTCATCCAGCCACGACGACCAGCTACAAACAAGCCGTCATTGCGATTCTACTGAGGCTTTTGTTCTGGTTTATGCGATACCCCAAGCATCTCACGCCTTCACGCCGTACACCATTCCCGTCTCGTCGATCGTTCCTATGAGTCAACTCAGAACCCACTTTTACGTTCTCCATTTGTATGATATCACGGGTTTTCATTCGTATGAAGTGTCGCTTCTGATCGCTCGCAACTCTGTCGCGTTCGCTGCTTATAGTCACAGATAATGACGACGCCGTTGCCTGTGATAGTAACGAATACAGACCCGATCACCTGCAGCTACGGAAACAGGAGAAGCAAGTCACTGGAAAGTACTAGCAGCAGCGCTAGCTACCGCAACGGGAACAGCAATAGCAATAGCAGCAGCACCAGCGACAGACGTACTGATAGACTTGGTTCTAGAAGCGATAGCACGATCGACGGTACTGTAGTAAGAGGCATCGACAGGGCGACGACCTTCAAGGCTAGTTCAAGGTCAAAACGCTGTAGCTTCGATTTAGTCACAGCCACAAACGACAGCCATAGAATGTCCGCAACATGTATTCTAAGATAGCACACCCGTTTGGGGTTTCAGGGACTGCCAAACCTGACCACTCCGAGCCTGTCCCTGCCGAACCTGGCTCGCCACCATGCATGGCTGCCGAATCTGCAAGTTCCCGGCGGAGAATAAACATATGGTTCAGGAGACTACATAGACCACGTAGACTACAGCTTTTCCTTCTAGTGTTTATACAAGTGTTTCTTATAAAGCGGACGGCTGCTCAGAGCCCTTCGGATGTGGATAAAGCTGCACTGTTGAACTTTAAGGCCCACGTGACAGACGACCCTACGGGTGAGAAAGGCGATTCGCGTCATACCCCTCAATATGGTATTCTTTACTGCACATTGCGTCCATCCTCCCCTGCTCCCCCGTGCTCCTTACCCGTGCTGCAAACCCATGCACTTAACCCATTTTTGAGGCGTCTCAAAAGTCGTCTACTTACCCGTGCTGCTAACCCATGCTCTTTACCCATTTTATCCCTTTCTCCCCTTCCCCCTCCCCCCTTCCACCCCCCCCTCCTGCCCCCCTCTTCGCCAGGTGCGCTTTCCAACTGGAACCCCGACGACCCAGACCCATGCGGCTGGACAGGAGTAGACCGCAATCCCTTCTCTCTCCCCCCACCCCGCTGTCCCTTCCTCCCTTTCATCTGTCTTCCTTTCTGTCCCACCCCCCCTCCTTCCCCAGGTGCGCTTGACAACTGGAACCCCAACGATCCCGACCCATGCAGCTGGACGGGCATCGACTGCAACCCCTTCTCTCGCCGCGTCACCTCCCTCTCCCTCCCCTACCGCACCCTCTCCGGCACTCTCGACCTCCCAGACCCTTCCCTCGCCTCCCTCTCCGACCTCCTCCATCTCTCCCTCCCCGGAAACTTCTTTCCAGGCTCCTTCCCCTCCGCCCTCTCCCGCCTCTCCTCGCTTCAAACCCTGGACCTGTCAGAAACGGAGCTCTCAGGGGAAATCCCCGGAAATACCCTCTCCGCCCTCCGCCATGTAGCCGTTGTAGACCTTCACAAAAACGCCCTCTCGGGGTCAATACCCCCGGAAATCTCCGCTCTCAACTCTTTAATCAAGCTGGATTTGAGAGAAAACGCCCTCTCCGGCCCTCTCCCTTCCGAAATGCAGACACTAGGGCAGGTGCAGGACATACTACTAGACTACAACCAGCTATCTGGTCCACTCGCTCCAGCCCTCTTAGTCTCGCTTCCAATCGTCCAGACCATCTCGGTCCGGGGGAATGGGTTCGAAGGGGAGGTGCCTAAAGAGTTTGGGTATGCGCAGCGGCTTTCTAGGCTGGATTTGGGCGGGAACAGGCTGACAGGGAGCATTCCCGAGACGTTTGGGCAGATGTGGAGCTTAACGGCTCTTCGGTTAGACTCTAATAACATCGGCGGGACGATCCCTACGAGGCTGAATACGCTGTCGCAGCTGCAGGTGCTGACGCTGAACGGGAATGATTTGGTAGGGGAACTTCCCCCGTTTAATGGGCTGGAGAGTCTGGTCCAGTTCGACGTTTCGAATAATGATTTGTTTGGATCGACGCCCACGGAAGGGCCGTTAGCGAAGTTCCCTCCATCCTCGTTTGAAGGCAATCCGGGGTTGTGTTATGGGGAGTGTCCGCCCTCCCCACCTTGGTGGCTGCCCAGTCCGCCCTTTCCTCCCCCGAGGGCCCCCTCGCCCCCCTTTGTCTCCCCGTCTGCTCCCCCTCAGATTCTCCCCCCTCCGCCTGTCTCCCCCTCACCCCCTCCCCCCGTTCAACCTCCCCCTCCCGTTCTCTCTACACCTCCTCCCCTTCTCCCTCCTCCTCGTCCGCCTCTCCCTTCCCCGCCTGTGCTTCTACCAGCTCCCCCTTTTCCTCCCCCTAAGCCCCCCTCTCCCCCTCGGAAACGCCCACCCCCGTATCCCCGCTTTCCTCCTCCCCATCCGCCCCCTTCCCCCCCAACCTCCCCGTTTTTTCCCGAAATCACCCCCCCGGGCCCCCCCATTCCCCCCCCGCCCAAGCGCACTCACCCCCCAAGGCCCCCCCGCCACCCCCGCCCCCCCTGGCCTCCCCCCCAACCCGTTCCCTCGCCCCGGCCCCCCACACATCCCCCTCTTCCCCCCCGCAAGCCCCCCACTCCTCCACACCCTCCCCCCAAACCGCCTGTTGCCTCTCCACCACTCGCCCCTTCCCCTGCCCCTGCCCCAAGCCCTTCCCCCTCTGTCTCCCCCTCGCCAGGCCCTTCCCCCTCGTCCGCACCAGCTCCCGCCCCTGCCTCCTCCCCCTCCCCTGCTCCCACCTCCTCCCCCTCCCCTGTACCCGCCTCCTCCCCTACACCTGCTCCCGCCCCCTCCCCCTCTCCATCCCAATCTCCCGCCCCTGCTCCTGCTCCCCTTGTTCCCCCCCCTCTTGCTCCACCGCCCACTTCTCCCACTCCTGCTCCTTCCCAAGCACCCTCTCCTCTCCCCACTCCTCTCCCTCCTCCTCTCACTCCTCCCTCCAACTCCCCACCACCACCACCATCACCACCTCTCGACTCGTCTGGTAACCTAGATGTTTCCTCTTCCCCCGCCCCTCCTCCCCCCGCTACAAGCACCAACCCCTATAGTAACAACAACCTGGCCTGGTGGCAGCTGCTGGCGTTATGTGCTGCCTCGTTATTAGCAACTCTGCTCTTTGCAGCGCTGTTCACATTCGGCTGCCCGTATCTCTGCGGCATGGCAGCCCGTGCAAAGCATAGGTATAAAGGGGTGCCTACTAATGAGGATGCTGCTCTGAAAGCAGAAGCTGATGCAGCAGCAGCAGCGGCAGCGGCAGCGGCAGCTGCAGCAGGGGGGGCAGGAGCAGGGGCTTATAGCGGGCCATACAGTAACGAGTATGGCATGGAGGGTACAGAGGGAGAGGGAGGAACGGGAGGGGAAGGAACAACAGGAGCAGGAGGAACAGGAGGAGGAGGAGAGGGAGCGGCACTGATAGGAGCAACGGTCGCTGCAGGTGCAGTTGGCATAGGCGCTGCCGCCGCTGCAGCAGCTGCCACCGGCTCAAAATCAACAGAAGGATCAGGCGAGGATGACTCTAACGAGGATATACCTGTAGCCGCCGCTGCAGGAGCAGCAGGAGGAGGATCAGGAGCAGGGGCGGAGGGCAGCTCGTCACTGGTAACCATGTTTGACGGGCGGTCGGCGTGTGCATCCGCGTTATTAGCCGCCACGGACGAGTTTGGGGCGAGCAAGATGATCACGAGGGGGCCGGGCCCGAGTGGCAGCACGGCGTTTGTGGCTGACATGCTGGTGGATGGCCCAATGTTGGTGGCAAAGCTACTGCCCACTGTGACGGAGCAAGGCGAGGACGGGGAGGAGTTTCCTGTCCCTATGAACCTCAACATGGAGGTGAGAATTATATTCGGGGTTGCAAGTGGCTGGTTGGTGTATCAGTGGGTGTCGGCGTTTGTGGCGGACATGCTGGCGGATGGTCCCATGCTCGTGGCGAAGCTACTGCCGACTGTTACAGAGAAAGGGGAGGATGGAGAAGAGTGCCCCGTGCCTATGAACTTGAATATGGATGGAGGTGAGTGGGCAGGGCACTGGGCATATCATTTTTTAGGCGCCTCAAAACTGAGACGATTTTTGAGGCGCCTCAAAAAGAGTGTCCCGTGCCTATGAACTTGAATATGGATGGAGGTGAGTGGGCAGGGCACTGGGCATATCAGTCTGGGTTCTGAGATGTAGCCTTCGGTGGTGTTGCTGTTGCTGTTGCTGTTGCTGTTGCTGTTGCTGTTGCTGGGTGTCAGTGGGTGTTGCTGTTGCTGTTGCTGTTGCTGTTGCTGGGTGTCAGTGGGTGTTGGTGTTTCGGTGGAGAGGAGAGGAGGTGAGTGCAGAAGGCAGAAGGGGGGGGCTGAGCGAGTGGCAGCCACGGACGAGTTTGGTGCGAGCAAGATCATCACGAGGGGCCCGGGCCCGAGTGGCAGCACGGCGTTTGTGGCTGACATGCTGGCGGATGGCCCCATGCTCGTGGCGAAGCTGTTACCCACTGTGACGGAACAAGGGGATGACGGGGAGGAGTTTCCTGTGCCTAAGAATCTGAATATGGAGGTGAGTGTGGTGTGGTGCAAATGGTTATGAGCCTATGAGTCGCCTGCACTCTGAACTGGTGGATGGACCCATGCTCGTGGCCAAGTTGCTGCCCACTGGGATCAAACAAGGGGAGGATTGAGAGAAATTTTCTGTCCCCATGAACGTCAACATGGAGGTGAGTGTAGTTTTGAGTCGACTCAAAACTTTTTCTTTCCCCATGAACCTCAACGTGGAGGTGAGTGGGAATATCAGTCTGGTTTCTGATATATCTCCTGTCAACCCTTACCCATGTGCTCATTGTCCCGTTGACATGAGCACAACAGTGCTGCGAGTTGCATCATCTACTCTTGATTCGGCTCAAAACGAGTTGCATCACCTGGATATCAACACTGTTGCAGCACGGAATCTCGTTCCTGGATCTCGTTCCCGTCTTCCTGCTGGAAATCCTTTGCGCTGGCGGAGATTGACCACCTGAATGTGCTCATGATCTCCTGGGATTCGAATATTCTTCCTGGAACCGCACCAAAATCCCATCACCCCATCACCCACATGCATGCCCATCACCCACATGCATGCCCATCACCCTCCAGGAAATGCGCGCGCTGGCGGAAGTAGACCACCCGAACGTGCTGCCGCTGCTGGGGTGCTGGGAGGACGAGATCACCGGCCGGCGCGTGCTGCTCTACGAGCTCATGCCCAACGGGGACCTCAACGACTTCCTGTATGACGAGGTATGGATGGGATGGGCTATGGACTAACTAACGGTTGTCCTGACATGACGACATGGAGTTTATGGGTCGAATAACAAGCCCCGCCTTTGCTCCTTACTCACAAGCACACGGTTGTGCTTACAGCAAGCCCTCTAATGCTTGCCCTTGCTGTATGTCACACTCCTCACATCCCCCCCTTGCTCCTTACTTCCCTTCCTTTCTCCTTCCCCAACAGGAGCTCTCTGGGAACTCCCTAGCTCTCTGGGAACTCCCTCACATGGGACACCAGTCTCGGCATAGCCCTGGGCGTGGCGCATCTGCACACACTCACTCCCCCTCGCCCACCGGGCTCCCAGCTCCCCCTGACCCCCTTGTGTACGGGTCTCTGCCTGACACTCCTCACATCACACCCCTTTGTCCCTTCTGTCCGTTTCTTCCTCCCGTTCCATCCTCTGTTCTCCTTTCATTGCAGGAACTCTCCGAAAATTCACTTACGTGGGACGCCAGAAGGCGAGTGGCGTTGGGAATAGCCCAGGGAGTGGCGCATCTGCACACACTCACTCTCCCGCGCCCACCTGGCTCCCAGCTCGCCCCTGACCCGCTCGTGCATGGGTCGCTGCACCCGGGGAACATACTGCTGGGGGACGATGGGGAGGCGAAGCTGACCGATACTGCAGGGGCGCGCATTGCCTTTGACTCGGATGATGTGCATGTGGCGCCTGAGACGCTGGGGTACACGCCTCCTGGTGAGTGCCTGTCAGGGCTAAAAAGGCCAGTTTCCGAGCGTTGGGTGCATGGGTCGCTGCACTCAGGGAACATCCTGAGCGTGTGACTCGGACGATGTGCACGTGGCTCATGAGAAGCTGGGGTACATCCCTCCTTGTGAGTATTTTTGAGACGTCTCAAGAATACTCTTTATACACGTGGATCCTGAGTGTGTGACTTGGACGATGTGCACGTGGCTCCAGAGACGCTGGGGTACACCCCTCCTGGTGGGTGTGGGTGTCTGTGAAATGGGACGGGCCTTGGTGCTGGTGAGAGTCTGGTGGGAGGCGGGTACCACGGCCGCTGCTCAATTCGTAGTTTGGTGGTTTCGTTGCAGAGAGCGAGCTGGGCGACGTGATGGGATGGGTAAACGTGTGCATGGAGGAAAGCGCGCCTCCCACTATGCTCATTCCCTCCCTGCCTCTGGTACCTTCCCCCTTCCCTCCCCCTGTACCCCCACTACCTCCTCCTCCCCCAGACTACATGTCAGGCCCCACAACAGCCACACCAGAGGGCGATGTGTTCAGCTTCGAAGTCGTTCTTCTCGAGCTGCTCACAGGTCGCCCGCCCCTAGACCCGTGGCTCGCAGAGAACGAGTCGGGGTTTGTGATCGTGTGGGTGAACGTGTGCGTGGAGGAGAGGGGGGCACAGGCAGCAATGCTCACTCACTCCCTGCCTCTGCCCCCTTCTGCCCCTCTTTTTCCCCGTACCCACCCTCCTACTCCTCCCCAGAGTACATGTCAGGCCCCACAACCGCGACTCCCGAAGGGGATGTGTTCAGCTTCGGGGTGGTGCTGCTAGAGCTCTTAACAGGCCGCCCGCCCCTAGACCCGTGGTTTGCAGAGAACGAGCTGGGGGACGTGATCGGGTGGGTGAACGTGTGCGTGGAGGAGGGGGCGGGCAGCAAGTAAGAAGGCTCACTTCCTCCCTGCCTCCGCCCCTCTTCCCCCCTCTTTTTCCCCCATCGCCCTTCCAGAGTACATGTCAGGCCCGACAACAGCCACCCCGGAGGGAGACGTGTTCAGCTTCGGTGTCGTCTTGCTTGAACTATTGACAGGGAGGCCGCCCCTAGACCCGTGGTTTGCAGAGAACGAGCTGGGGGACGTGATTGGGTGGGTGAACGTGTGCGTGGAGGAGGGGGCAGCGGGGGACGTGTTGGATCCACGAGTGGCTGATATAGCAGAGTGTGAAGGCGAGATGCTGGAGGTTCTTAAGATCGCCTTGGTGTGTGTGGGGGAGGAGGCGGAGGAACGGCCGTCCATGGCGGATATTGTGTCGATGCTGGAAAGGGTGGGGGATGAAGGGAGCGGGTAGCAGGGCCCGTACCAGCACAGCAGCAGGAAGGAGCGACAGGGGACGTGTTGGATCTGCGAGTGACGGATATAGCGGAGTGTGAGGGCGGGGTGCTGGAGGTGTTGAAAATCGCCTTGGTTTGTGTGGGGGAGGAGGCGGAGGAACGACCGTCCATGGCTGATATTGTGGCGATGCTGGAGAGAGTGGGGGATGAAGGGAGCGGGTTGCAGGGCTCCCACTCGCAGAGCAGCAGGGAGGAGGGGAGAAGGGGGAAGAAGAGCACAGGGGAGGGCAGGAGGAAGCCAAGAGGAGTGTAGGAGGACGGCAGGAGGAGGAGCAGAGGGGGCGGCGAGGGACGTGTTGGATCCGCGTGTGGCGGATATAGCTGAGTGTGAGGGCGAGATACTGGCGGAGGGCAGTAGGAGGGCAGGAGGAAGGCAGGACATAGCTGGCGGATATAGCGGAGTGTGAAGGCGAGATGCTGGAGGTTCTTAAGATTGCGCTCGTGTGTGTGGGCGAAGGAGGCGGAGGATATGAGGGGGGCATATGAAGGATGTGCGTGGGATGGGAAGAATGAGTAGTGTGAGTGGTAAGGAGGGACGCGAGGGCAGGGTCCATTTTTCTGTGTGTATGTAGTGGTATGCAGTGGTATGTAGTGGTAGCAGCAGTGGGTCCGCAGATGAGGTGTGGCTGCTGCTGCAAGAACACTAGCAGCTGAACCCTGGAGCAAGCAACACTGACTGGCAGCTTGTGGTAAAACCACCTGCAAAGCTGCCAGAAAAAACACTAGTTTTTGGTGGCAGTTTTGAGGCGCCTCAAAACTAGTTTTGGTGGCATTAGCAGCAGTCAACTAACAACTGCGGCATCACCAACGGCAGTCAGCAGTCCCCAACCCAACAGTGCCTTATATTAGAAGCCAACTGCGGATCAATTCATCCCAACCCAACACCCAGACGTACACTGCCCTGCACTTCAATGGCAATAGCTAGTACGGGAAGCATGCTGCGCTAATCCCCTGCCTTGACTTTACTAGCATGCATGAGTTGTGCAGTGCTGTGTGTGTGCCACATGGCATTGCTTCTTCAATATGAACATCATACGGTACTAAGGGGCACGTCCTTGCATGACTTGGCTGCTCAACCAACAACAGTAACAGTTGAAATGAAACCTTATTCCACCAATATTTACAGCACTCCCACCCGCCCATACCACTACAAATCCCACGCTACCAATATTTACACCAGTGGTACGGTATTGCTTCTTTCCTAAAACTAGCTCGCATGGAATGACGCTAGGTGACGCGTCAAGCTAGCTTGTAGATGAACCGTGTTTTGAGTTTTGACTAAAAAATCCTGGAATCACGCTGGGTGAATCGTCAAGCTAGCTCATAGATGAAAGAAGTCTCTTTCACACGCTGATCACCAGGATTCACCTTCTTTCGCCAAGCTTCTGTCCACTTCTGCACACAGAACAAGCAATCGACAAGGGAAACCGTGAAGAAAGAAAAAAAGAAAAGAAACGTGAGCATAACTCACGCATACACACACAAGAGGCCTTGAAGACCCAGACTAAAACGTGAGGCGACATAACAATAAGGAGAATCGCAAGCAAGAACGAAAGCTGGCGAGGCCAATTTACCGTACCTCTTCCGCTTCTTCTCGTATTTCTGCCAAGCCCCACACGACGGCAGTGAGGCGACAAAGCGACAAAGCAAGCATCCAAACACTGCTAGATGGCGTTAAAGTTCACCAGGCCAATACTGCTACAGTATGGCACTTGCAAACAACATGGTATTGATATTAACGAGTTGGAACTAACATGAATGGCGTAGGAAGTGCCGACTGTCACGACGGCGACAGCAGACGCCATGCCCAGAGTGGCAGTCGCCACGTTCCACAGGCGAACACTATTCGGCATGAGGGTCGGCATTCTCAAGGTTTTGATGGCGCTTCGCTGATACGGGAACAATCCTCTAAACGAACGCGCAACAGAAAGCCGCAATTATTGGGTGCGAGTGAAGGGACTACGGTTTCGAAAAGCGAGAAAAGAGAAGCTGAAACTGAAATAGACGGCACCCGATGGTGAATTTGAGCATGTGTGAAGCGCAAGGGAGATGGTGAATTTGTGGGCATTTCCTTTTCCAAATGTGACGGATGAGGAAAACGAAGCGAACGGTGGGGAGGAGAAACAGCGAAGTTCTCGGGCAGAGAAAATGGAGCGAAAAAAAGAGCAGATTAGGTTTGAAGAATATTCGGCTATTGTGGTGTTTAGTTAGCAGCACTCTTGGCAGGAACGTCATGTCCCTCCCAGCGTCCGGTTCGGGCAGTAAGATTTACATTTCATGCCCGTAAATTTGCAGCCTTGGGACCACGTGACGGAAGTTGATGCGTAAGCGAATGACTGATTCCACGTCAACAGCACTTCGTGCTGAACCCTGCGGCCAAAATTCCACGTGTCGTATCGAGCTCGTCCACCTCACGCAGTCCCCAGCACGACGCAGCGCGATGCGGCTCGCAAATGCACGCAATTTTGCAATGCATTGCGCAAATGCAATCAGGCAGGAACAACAAATTCTCACCGCCCCCACGTACCAGCTTCGTATCGGAACCGATTCGAATCGTTATCAAACGCATTGGGAACTCGATAGAGGGTTGCGACCTGCTGTAAATTTTTCCCGAGTGCTTGCATGCTCGTTTATAACCCTAGAACTAGAACCTTCCAATAATCGCTGACACCAGTGGCGCCCATCTTTAACCCTTTCAGGCAATGTTATCTCTCGAAGCGCACGACGGAGAAGTGAACACTTGCTGAAGAGAAGCGTCTATCCTGAGAAGCGTTAGCGTTAGCGTTAACGTGACAACAACAACGCGCTCACTGGAGCTTTCCTCTGCTTCAGCGCACGTCAGAAACCGCTTGCATGGCCACGAGACCCCTTTCCTCTCACGAACACTGCCCCGCCACGCCCCTTACCTCTCTCCACTGCATGTTCCCATGCACGGCCGTCTTAACGCCGTCTATCGAGGCGCCAGACGAACCATCAACTCAATTTTGATGTTCCAAGAATGGCCACCTCCCAGTCTGCGAGGCTCCTGTCTGCGCCCGCTGTCGCACCTTCTTCCGAGATGCAGCATCTTCTTGCGCGGCTCACTATTATTCTCTCCTCGCCGTTCCCTAGTCTCAGCTTTCTCCCAGCCATGAGATCTCTTTGCTTGATAACGCCCATCATCCCCGCGAGTCTCAGGCGTTGAGGCGCCTCGTAAATCTTCTACTTGATAAGGCCCACCCTTCCCGCTCGGCTCTCGGATCAGTTAGCCTTCGCAAACAGTGTCAGCTCAGGGCTTCTGTACTAACCCCTTCGAACAGTTTCCGACGCTCTGCACAACCCGTCCTTCGAGTCAACTCAAAAGTCGGAAGTCGGCTCCGCAAGATCTGTCGCCATGACGAAGCTCTCCTCTCACGCCTTCGCGTCGTCACTAGCCCGCCAGGTCGCTCGTTTCTTCGCAGCGTCATCGCACTCAGCTGAAGCGGCGACGGCGGGTGCAGCGGCGGCGGCATCGCCGGTTTCCAGGCAGCAAACGCTCCGCGCCACGGCGGCGACTTCTCACTGGAACGATCTCGGCGAGAGCTCGTCTGCACGCAGCAGCGGCAGCGCCCGTTCGCTTCATGGCCAGGTTAACACGGCACTGCCGTCGCAACCATCGCTGTCGCTGGTGCCAGCGCCACAGCAGCAGCGGCAGCAGCCTTCCTTCACTCGCATCGGCGCGACGAGCAGCTTCACCACCACTCGGGCCGTCACCTCGGATGCTGCCGCGCAGAAAACGGCGAGCGGGACAGGTGCGGCGCGGGCGCCGCCGCCGACAAAGGAGTGGCACCTGGTGCCGCTGGGGTACCGCCCCGCGCACGCCGTGCCGCTGCAGGAGCGCATCGAGGAGATGTGGGAGTCGCGCGTCGGGCGGGAGGTGCGGGAGGGAGTGGAGGGGAGGGTGGCAGGGAGGAAGAAGAAGGGCGAGGGAGCGGAGGAGAGCGGCCAGGAGGAGGAGCGGCGCGAGCTGGAGGCTCTGAACTGGGCGTTCAGTCAGCTGCCCATGTCCGTGTTCCCGTGCCAGCATAAAGGTTTGCCAGTTTTCCATTCCACGGCTTCTGATGTGTCTCTAAAGCGTTGAGTCAGCCGTCCCTGTCCGTGTTCCCATGCCAGCATGAAGATTCGTCAACTTTCTTCATCCTTTCCTATGCTCCTATACGCTTTTATACTCTCCTGCACTCCTTGACATGGTTGACCTCTGATATTCTACATCACACTCCTATTCGTTCCTGTACGCTCCTCTGCACTCCTATATGCTCCATATGCCTCTCAACTTTCATACACTTCCATCCGCTACCATATGCCTCTCAACTTTCATACACTTCCATCCGCTACCATATGCCTCTCAACTTTCATACACTTCCATCCGCTACCATATGCCTCTCAACTTTCATACACTTCCATCCGCTACCATATGCCTCTCAACTTTCATACACTTCCATCCGCTACCATATGCCTCTCAACTTTCATACACTTCCATCCGCTACCATATGCCTCTCAACTTTCATACACTTCCATCCGCTACCATATGCCTCTCAACTTTCATACACTTCCATCCGCTACCATATGCCTCTCAACTTTCATACACTTCCATATGCCTCTCAACTTTCATACACTTCCATCCGCTACCATATGCCTCTCAACTTTCATACACTTCCATCCGCTACCATATGCCTCTCAACTTTCATATACTTCCATCCGCTACCATATGCCTCTCAACTTTCATACACTTCCATCCGCTACCATATGCCTCTCAACTTTCATACACTTCCGTCCGCTACCATATGCCTCTCAACTTTCTCCCCGTTTGTCCTTTGTCTTGCTCTCTTTCCCTGCCATCCGCTCCCCTTCCCTCTCCCTACCCCCCCAGTGCTCGAGGTCCCCTCCAACGCCAAACTATCAGACGCTCTGCGCATGCTACAGCATGCGGGCCTCACAGCAGCGCCAGTCAGGGACGTGGCGGTGGGGGACGACGCACCCTTGCAGCAGCGGTACCTCGGGATGGTGGATGGCGCGGGCATCGTGCTGTGGGTCATGGAGCAGGTGAGCGAGGGAGTTAATGGGTTAGGGGAAGGTCAGCATGGGGTATGTACTAGAGAGAACAGAGACTCGACGCCCCTATGCAGCAGACCATGCCAGTTGCCGTTGCATCAGAGCTGGATTTTATACGCCCAATATATGCAGCTTGACCAAGAACAGCAGCGCATCTTGGCAAAAAAAACTTACCTCAATTTTGCGCACATTCCCTTAATATACATTCCTTATATTAGCTTTTTTGAGGCATGGGGCAGGCAGGTGAGGCAAGGGGCAGGTGAGGCATGGGGCAGGTGAGGCATGGGGCAGGTGAGGCATGGGGCAGGTGAGAGGCAGGTGAGAGGCAGGTGAGAGGCAGGTGAGAGGCAGGTGAGAGGCAGGTGTGGGACATGTCTACCTGTGCTTGGCTTCACTTTGAGGCGCCTCAGCTTTTGATGCGACTTTTGATGCGACTTTTGAGGCGCCTCAATCGAGGCAGGTGTGGGACATGTGTACCTGGGCGTGGTTTCACTCAGTGCCTTCCTTTGAAACTCCCCTCCGCTCCGCCCTCCCCCCTTCTCCAGCTCAACCAATCTTCCATAGAGGTCCGCATGGCGGCAGCAGCAGGGGGGGGGCTGGCGGGAATGGCGTTTGGAGGGCTGGGCGCAGCAGCACTGGGCGCGCCAGATGTTGCCACGTTGGCAGCCATGTGGGCGGGATCGATGGCGGGAGGGCTACTGGGTGCCACGTCAGCAGAGGCTCCGGAAGAGGGGGAGGCGGGGGGAGGGGTGGAGCGACTGAGGGTGTCTGCAGGGGGGCTGGATCGGCTGCTGCAGGGGAGTTGGTTTCAAACTGCCAAGGTGAGGGGATGGAGGGTGCGAGGGGGGATGGAGGGTGCGAGGGGGGATGGAGGGTGCGAGGGGGGATGGGGGGAAGGGGGTTTGGATCAACTGGTAATCTGGAGCGACTGAGGGTGTCAGCAGGGGGGCTGGATCGGCCGCTGCGAGGGAGTTTGTTTCAAACTGTCAAGGTGTAAGGGGTTTTGGGGGCGGCCGGTAGGGGGGAGTTGGGGGTAGGCGGGGGGAGGGGTGGAGCGACTGAGGGTGTCTGCAGGGGGGTTGGATCGGCTGCTGCAGGGGAGTTGGTTTCAGACTGCTAAGGTAAGCGTGGGGGCAGGGGGAAGAGCGGAGAACATAAGAGTGTTGGCAGTATATGTGTGTCAGGCAGAGGGGCTGGATCGGCTGCTGCAGGGGAACGTGTTTCAAACTGCCAAGGTAGTCTTGAGGGGAGGGGGTGGAGGGTGCGCAAAGGGCTTTGGTGGGGGCGTTGGGACTGTAGAGGCTGCTGAGGTTGTGGGGGTTGTGGGGAAGGGGTGGAGGGGTTGTAGCCTGTGAGGTGTCGGCAAGGGGGGGGCTGGATGGGTTGCTGTTCCACCCTTGCAGGTTTCTCACCAGTCAAATCACCCTTCCTCTTCCTCCCACCTCCATTTCCTGTGTATCCCTACCCCTCCTTCATCTGCTCCTTCATGTGCTTCTTCTGCCTCTCGTCCTGATTTTGACTTAACCTCCCTCTCTCCCCTGTTTCTACCCTCCTCTCCCGACGCTTATAACAGGTGTCGGACCTGGTGGGTTCCTTCTGCGGCACTTTATTAGCCGCCCTAAGCCGCCCCCCCTCCCCCCTGTTTTTACCCTTCTCTCCCTATCCCTCCCACAGGTTTCTGACCTGGTGGGTTCCTTCCGTTGGCGCTCCTTCCTGCCCCTCTCCTCCTCCGATTCTGTCCTCTCCCTCATGCTGCTCCTTCCTCTCATGCCCCACCACCCTCAAATGCTGCCCGCAGTCACCTACCCTTTCACTCTCCCCTCTGCTTGTCCCTTTCCCCTTTAACGCCCTGCCTTCCTCACAGGTGTCGGACCTGGTGGGTTCCTTCCATTGGCGCTCCTTCCTGCCCCTCTCCTCCTCCGACTCTGTCCTCTCACTCATGCTGCTCCTCGCCATGCCCCACCGCCCTCAAGTGCTTCCCATCGTCACCTACCCTCCCACCTCCTCCACTCCCTTCTCCTCCTCCCCCTCCTCCGCCTCTCCCACCTCATCTCCCGAGCCTGCAGCCGCAACTTCGTCGGCAGGCTCGGGGCAAGCCACGGTGCCGAGCCTGTCAGCTCTGGTGTCGCAGGCAGATGTGGTGAATTTCCTGGCGGAGTGTGACGGGCAGCCGTGGTTCGAGTGGGTGGCGGGGAGGAGTCTGAAGGACATGGGGCTTCCTCGAATGGGCGCAGAATCGACTGTAAAGGTGAGATGGTTTCACACAGTGTGCGTCACAAGAAGCGATGGTTCCAGAGGGTGGGAGGGAGGACTTTGGAAGGCATGAGATGGGACTGCCGAGAACGGGAGTAGAGGTGAGATGGTTTTACCGGAGGGTGGGTGACGGGCAGCCTTGGTTTGAGTGGGTGGAAGGAGGAGCTGAGAGTCATGGGGCTTCCAAAAATGGGAGAATTCCCTGTCGATGTCTGCCAGCAGAATGAAAAAACACAGCGTGTGTGCCAGCCGGGAATCGAACCCGGGTCTGCACCGTGCTGATGGCAGGGTGCTATTCTACCACTAGACCACTGGCACTGGTTGGTGTTGTTTAATTGTCAATTTTCTCACAGTTGGGGATCCGTGTGCTTTTTTTAGAGGTGAAGGCGACCTCCTGGAGAGCAGGTTTTGGGTTTCGGGTTTAGGACGCTGGCACTCGCATCTATTTTGGCGATTGATCATGCCGTGGTTTTTGACGGGTTTTAAAAAGGTCAGGTTAGTTTTGCAGGTTTTTAGTGCGGTAGCAGATCGATTTTACACAATGGCCTTGCTCGACAGGTTGGAGCCTCCTTGGAGCGCTAGGGTTAGGCTAGAGCTAAGAGGTGACTTCGAAGTAACTTCACCCAGCCTCCCCTTCCCCCACGAAATCGGAAGCATCGCCTCCCGAGGTCGGAAGGAGGGGGTCGTCATGGCGATGTTGCAGCCCCTCCTTCCACCATCTTCATCGTGGGCTGGGAGCTTTCGGGGGGCTGAACTTGAAGTGTTAACGTCGCGTTCGACAGGCTAACCCTTAACCCTTCATGTTACAGAGCGTTAAAGCCCAGAGACACTAGATTGTGGGCTGACCGTTGAAAAAAACCCTAAGTCGAAACAGCCGCGAACGTGCAGCGGAAGGGTTTGCCCGCGTCCTTAGGTTGTGCATGTAAGATGGAACTGCACGAGGAGATCTAGTTTCTAAGGTGGTTCCATGGACATATGTGTCGAGATGGCCGAGTTGGTCTAAGGCGCTGGATTAAGGTTCCAGTCCGAAAGGGCGTGGGTTCAAATCCCACTCTCGACAGCTTTTTCCAGCCTTCTGTTTTGTTGTGGAGGATGGCAGCATGTTGTGTGTCACGTTGATTCTACCTCGGTAATTTTGATCATAGATGACAGATTTGTAGCTTATTTGGCGGGAGGGAGTTGTTTGATAGCATGGGGAGTCGCTGGTAAGATTGCCAAGGGGTGCTACGGGGTGCCATGCGGAGACAAGGGGTGACAGTGCAGGTGAGAGCAGAGCTCTCACGGTTGGCCTGCAGGTGAGAGCAGGGCTCTCACGGTAGGCCTGCAGGTGAGAAGGGAACGGATCATAGGGCATAGAGGGCGGGGAGTTGTGGTTTCGGCGTGTAGAGGAGTGGTTCGGAGAGGGGTGGTTGGGAGAGGGGTGGTTAGACTGAGCCTAGCAGAGAAACAGTATGTGGTAGATGGGGGTATCCCGAGTGAGTTGCTGCATGCTATCCCGAGTGAGTTGGTGCGTGCTATGCATGATCAGATTGAGGTGTGTGTGATGGAGGGAGGTGTGGCGAGTTGAGACTAGGCCCAGGAAGATGTGGTGATGGTGAGGACAGGTTTGGGAAGGTGTCATGATGGTGATGAGGCCAGGTTTGGGAAAGTGTGGTCATGGTGAGACTAGGTTAGGGAAAGTGTGTTCATGGTGAGACTAGGTTAGGGAAAGTGTGTTCATGGTGAGACTAGGTTTGGGAAAGTGTGTTCATGGTGAGACCAGGTTTCGGAAGGTTTGGTGAGACGATTTTGGAAGGTGTGGTGATGGTGAGGCCAGGTGTGGGAAGGTTTGTTGATGGCGAGAGTTGGTTTGAGAGGGTGTGCTTGTGGTGAGGCAGGTTTGGGGATAGCATTGGGTGATGATGAGTTGGTTTGGGAGGGTGTGGTTATGGTAAGCCAGGGTTTGGGATAGTGTGGTGATGGTGAGAGCAGGTTTGGGAAGGTGTGCGAAGGGCGGTTAGTTGGGACCACGAGTGCACGAGACAAGACCAAGTTTGAGAAGGTGTCCAGAGGGAGGTTAGTTGGTAAGGTGGAAGTTAACGGTTGAAGGGATTCTCCTTTTGAGTCGACTCAAAACCAAAGGGAGGTCAGTTGGTAAGATGGAAGTTAACGGTTGAAGGGATTCTCTCTGAGGAATGAAATGGGTCTTTAGATCTCATCTGCCCAGTGTGAGGCAAGAGTCATGCAGAAAATTTGCAGACAAGATTTGCACGTGGGACAACTGATCAAGTATGCAAGAAGACAATATGAGGTAAGAAACGCTTCTGCTACCTCAATTGACGTCCCTCATCATGGGTGGGACTTTGCTACAGCAAAAGGCAAGGGGATGGACCACGAAATGATGACAAAACGAATAAAACACGGGAATCGAACCCGGGTCTGCACCGTGCTGGGTGGCAGGGTGCTATTCTACCGCTTTATTTACATTGTTATATTTGTATAGGGGATACTAACCAGCAATACCTACTACCCTAGGTTGAGTCCCCAATGAGGTCTTAAGAACCAACACCAAGGTACGCAAATCAGCCAAGGAAGGTGGGGTGGGTTCCGGTGGCGTGGAAGGTGTGTCATTGCTGTAGCGGATCTTTGTCCGACGACAAATGGACATGGCCTGCTCGCGCTGATGCACCAGAGAAATCCTCTTGAAGTAGCTCGTCTCGAAAAGCCCTGGAATAAGGTCGGATGTACCACCCATGTCCCGAAGCCGTGTTGCTCCTCGTCGGCTGCAGTCCTTGATGAAGCTGAGGAATGACGTACCGAAGCAACTGAAAGTTTCAAGGACAAGCCTGGTCCGTGGTGTAACGTACGCGCATACAGGGTCCGCTTCTCAGTTTCGCGAGCAGATGCGGCTGAACCGATGACGGATACAGTTTTGGAGTTGGGGGGGCCATGCTGGGGATCTGCGACCGAAATATCTAACGCCCATGTTGTCCCCGAGCTGATGTCACGGCAACTGATGTCGGGGCGGCGTCCTGCAAGAAGGTGGGAATCTTCCAGCTGCACAACATGATCAAGCTCCGACGTGATGCGGTGAACCTCATGCTTGATAGCGTCGTGAACCCTGGTAGGCTCGTTAGCAGATGGACAGCGGAGGACATGGGAGACGATTGAAGGATCCGTGAATGACGAGCCACAAGTGCATGTCCGAGTGGATGTGAGGTGTGGAATGGGGAGACCAAGACGGATAGCAGCTGCAATGCACCACTCTGTGGATGAAAGCTGCATGTGCGGAGAATATGGAGCCACAGTGAGCCAATCACCAGCATAGGGCCCTTGGAGGGAGGTCAAACGGGCCAAATGTTGGGGGGAGGTTACTGTGGATCGCACGCGCTCAAGCATAACAGCGTCCAGGTGTTGTGAAAGGTAGGAATACAGCTTCTGTGGGTAGCCAGCGTGGAGTGCAGGCCAGGTGGGGAACTGCTGTCGAATGGATGGATGGAGTTTGGATAAGGCTTTAGGAATGCATGAGTCAAGGCGATCCAGGGTGTCTGAAGTGATAAAGGGGCGGAAAATGTGAGAGCCGTGGATGGTGAAGCAAGAAGAGAGCAGTGAAGCTGTCTGTGCCCAACTGCACAGGTATCTGAGAGTAGCAGTTGTAGCTGATGATCGAAGGCCAAACCCTCCAAGGCGAATGGGAAGGAATGTCTGTCGATGTGCTGTGGCAGTGTGGTCAAATGTAGGGGGCCAGTAGTCAGAGCCAATGAGGCGAACAAAATGGTCAAGCAAGCTGTTGTCCCAGTCAGTATAGAGCTCTTCTATCTCGGGGAAAGGTGCAACTGTGCGGAGGAGGAATGAGGGACGAGCGGAGACGCAAAGAGAAAGGATTCTACCTGGACCACTGGCACGATTTAGACACTGAACTTCTAAAGCAGCTTTTATAGTTCGGTTTCCTCGAGCCTCTTGTTCATGCTTGACAAAACATATTTCCTCTTGTGTACGCGTTATGGTGGCAGGTGGAGGAGTCGGACCCGGTAATGGAGCCGTTCCGCCTGATGCTGCAGCACGACATCGGCGGAGTGCCCGTGGTGGCGCCGGGGACCAATCGCATCACAGCAAATGTCAGTGCGAGGGACATTCTGCAGCTGCTGACGTCACCACACCTTGCAGAGCAGCACCATCTCAAGTATGATGCCGCCATTCTCCACTCCTCCCCCCCCCCCCCCCCCCCCCCCCGGTTGTTGTGCGGCCATTCTGCACTTTCTCTGCTCTTGCTTTCTGCAGTTTCTGTAATTGACACCAAGTTACTTCCCCGTTGTCCCTGCATTCAATGCCCCCTCCCTTTTCACCCCTTGCCCCTACCCATCCCCAGGTCGCTCACAGTGGCGGGTCTGGTGCACAGTGCGCAAGCAGCATATTCGGTGTGTTTTCCTCCCCTCTTTCACCCTGCCCCCCTCCTTCTCCCTTCCCCCCCCCTCTCCCCCAGGCCGCTTACAGTGGCGGATCTGGTGCATGACGCGCAGCGCATTCACATGTTCTCCCCCCCTCTGCTCGCTCCCCTGGCCCCCCACCCCGCTTGTCCCCCCACTTCCCCCCTCTCCCCCAGGCCGCTCACAGTGGCGGATCTGGTGCATGACGCGCAGCGACCACATCACGGCGCTGCTGACGTCATCTGGCCAATCATGGTGCCGCCCGTGACGTGCCGCCCGTCCACGTCACTGCGCGAGGTGATCCACGCGTTCCGGGTGGCACGCGTGCACCGCATCTACGTCACCCGTGAAGAGGGGGAAGGGGAGAGTGGGAGCGGTGGGGAGCTGTTGGGAGTGGTGACACTGCGGGATGCAATCGGGCGGTTCCTGGTGAGGCAGGAGGAGGGGGGAGAGACAAGGGGAGAGAAGGTAGAGGAGCCGGCGCCGGCCAGCACTGAGGTTGGTTCGGATGGTCTCATCCTGTAGGGGCCTGGGAGGAGCTTGTTCGGGGAGGTAAGAGCGAGAGGTTGGTACGGTATGCCGCCGATCCGCCTCACTGTGCGAGGCGATCCACACGTTCCCGGGCACGCATGCACCACATCTACGTCACACGGGAGGAGTGGTAGGGTGAGAGTGGGAGAACTGGAGGGAGTGGGGGGATTGTTAGTGGTGGCGTTGCGGGACGCGATTGTGAGGTTTCTGGTGCAGCAGCACGAGGAGGGAGAGAGCAAGAGTGTGGAGAAGATACTCTTGCCCTCTTGGTTGGCCTGAGCAGTACTGGGGGTTGGCTCGGATGGTCTCAGCCTGTAGTCTGGTTGGATTGGATGGTATCTTGCCGGTATAGCTCACTGCCGGTTGGATGGTCCATGTGTTCATCTACGTCACATGGGAGCCAGAGAAGTGGGGGAATGGGGAGGAGGGGCTGGTTTGGCCACCACCGAGGTTGGCTCGGATGGTCTCATCATGTAGTCTGGTTGGATTGGATGGTACGTTGCTGGTATGGCTCACTGGGGGAGGTGATCCACGCTTTGCTGCTTGGTGTTGTCGTCCTTTTGCTGGATGCGGTTGGGGGGTCGCGGCGGTGTCTGAGGTTGCAGGAGGGAGGGGCGAAGGAAAGAGGAGGGAAGGAAGTACCGTAAGGGGAGGAAAGGGAGGGTAAGGGGAAGGAAGGGGAGGAAAGGGAGGGGAAATGACGTAGGGGGCAAGTAACTATACCGTGTACATATTTTTAGGAACTCGGGGGTTTCCCACTGGTAGGTGTGGGGTGGGAGGGATGAGATGAAATTTGTCTAGTTTACTATTTTGTACATTTGTACATTCCTCAATCATACACTCTGAAGTTGCACATACCTTGTACAAGCTTTGTGACACGTACCGTAATCACCCGGACATACCACCCGCCGAAATAGAACACCCCCCGGGTGGCTTGTGCGGGGGGGGGTGTTATATCGGACCTCGTTTCTACTATACCCCCCTTTTGGGCCGATCCGGTATAAGACCCGGGGGGGGGGGGGGGGGGGGGGGGGGGGGTGTTATGTACGGAAAAATTTGCTGTTTTCGCCTAAATTTTGCACAGGGACGTGACCGCACCAGCGAGGCTGCTAAGCCTGTTGCGGGACTCCCGCCTCTGTGACTGCATGAATCCTCGTCGAGCGACGGGGGGTGTGTTTTCGACCAATCAGGGCATGACAGAGGGCCTGTTGGAGCTTGCAATGTGGCAGCTTCCACTCGAGGCTAAGGGCGTGTGCACTAGGAGTTCGAACTTCTGTCTAAGTTCGAACTTTTAGCGAGGTTCTACTCGGTGCAAAGCGGTGAATGTTCAAACTTTGACAAATTTCGCCCAAAGTGCACACGCCCTAACGTTATCGCCTCATCCTCGGTTTTGCGCACCCAACCAACAATCTACCACCGCAGCAAGCATGTACATTTTGTTCCCAACTGTTTCTGCTTAAAAAAAATGTACATTATAAAAAGACCCGGGTTTATGTAGTTATCATAGCACCCTAGGGTGGTATGTCCGGGTGATTACGGTACGTACTATATTGGCGTGAACATCGGGAAAACGGCCCCAGATGTTTGAACAACATCCTGCTTGAAGGTGTTCATAACCACTCACTATTTCACTCACCATGGTAACATGAAGCTGAAAGCAACATAATGAATCATATAGATTAGTACAGTGGACTATATTTCATGCTAATGCAGCTTACAGAGAAAATGCACAACCACCATTGCCAGAACCGGCTCCCTTGCAGGAAGCCACAAAATTAACGTCTGTCAAACCAGCCAGCCAATCACAACAGGTTCCCTACCACCAGTGCTCTACCACCAGTGCTCTTTTTGCAGCACCAGTCGAATGCATCGGCTCAAGCTCGATTCAGACCGCTAACTTTCACTGTCCTGTGATAAAAACTGGGGCATTTAGTGAGACCGCCTTATGGAAAGGACTGCATGGGCAGGAGCAGCAGGATGAGCAGCCGCAGCACTCAGCAGGGCGCCCATTCCGCCAACAACTGAGGGGTTCACTCAGCTGGGCTGGTTCATTCACTCAGCCTTGTAGCTTCAACCTCTAAGAGAGCCCCTCGTCGCGCCTCATCTTAGAGCTTCAATCTCCTGTCATAGATTGCACCACTTGAACGGGTCCAATGCCTCCCCTCTCTTGCGAACTGCGGGGTGGGAAAAGATGGCACAGGGGGAAGAGGGGGACAGGCGAAAGGTGCCACAGGGGGAAAAGGAGGGATAGGTGTGTGATGGCACGCTTAGAACAGTGTGAAATTCCATGGGGGGAAGGGAGGGATTTCGTGCGAGGGCACAGGGCCAACAAGTGCGAGGTGCCACAGGGAGGAAAGGGAGAGAGAGCGGAGAGGTGCGAGTTGGCACAAGGTGGCGGGAGGAAAGGTGAGAGAGAGCAGGCGGTTGAAAATGTGCGGTGTATCAAGTGCAGAGGAAACGTGGGAACCGGCACAAGAAAGCAGACAAGGACCCCTGTGCATGTCTGCATGCGTGTGTGGGAGCAGGGGAGATGCAGCGAGGGAGACAAGGGGGAGGGAGAAAGCAAGTCTGCAGGGAAGACCGAGGGAACAGGCCAATAGTGTGCTTACCTTCGAAGTGCAGGTGTGGGCCAGTGGCTCGTCCAGTTGCTCCCACACACGCCACCTGCTGGCCCCTTGCTACTCTCTGCAGTGGCCATGCCATGTAACACACATGCATACACACATGCACACATGCATGTACACATGCACACATGCATGTACACATGCACACATGCATGTACACACATGCACACATGCATGTACACACATGCACACATGCATGTACACACATGCACACATGCATGTACACACATGCAGCACACAAGTGCACAGACACATGCATACACACATGCACTCACGCATGCATGTGCATATGCACATACATATGCATGCACACATGTACACACACATGCATGCACAAATTCTTACATATATACATACATGCATGCACACATGCACCCACACATGCACAGATGGAGCATGATGGGTGAGAGGGTGGATGTGAAGGGGCAACTTCGGAGCTAGCAAGCAAGCCACCTCACAACCCCACTTAAAGCAACCCCATCTCACTGCACCGCACCACATGCCATCACATGCCACGTTACTCACTGCAGGTCATAGCATGCCATCAAAATGCCACAGCCACATAAGATCACTCACAGTACACGCTACACACATGCAAGGAAGCTTCTCCCAGAGCCATACGCACCTGCCCAACCCGTGCGTTGATGATGCAGCAGTGGCCGTAACGAGTTGTGAATCCGTTGTCATGGGCTATCGTCACCAGCTTTCCATACCTGGAGTAATGGGAGCAGATGGAACATGGGAAAGGGAGGGGAGGTGGGGGGGAGGTTTATGATGGCATTGTCTCACACACCCGCACCCATACCCATGCCCACACCCACAACCGCCCATACACACACACACGCACGCACGCGCGCGTGCGCGCGCGCACACACACATGCAATCACATGCAAGCATTGACACACAGACAGACTCACCCTCCGCTCCAGCGCACAAACGTCGCCACTAAGAGTCGACTCGAAACGTACACACATGCACGCAGGCATGCATTCTCACAGACAGACTCACCCTCCGCTCCAGCCTGCAAACGTCACCACGCCCTTGTCTGACGCGAGCACTGGTGCACCAAACTCCGCTGCTAGGTCCACGCCCTGTGGGGGACTTTTGAGACGTCTCAAAAGGCAAGCATTCTCACAGACAGACTCACCCTCCGCTCCAGCCTGCAAACGTCACCACGCCCTTATCTGAAGCGAGCACTGGCGCACCAAACTCCGCTGCTAGGTCCACGCCCTGTGGGGGGGTAGGGAGAGGGAGGGAGGGAGGGAAGGGGGGAGAGAGGGATGAGAGACGGAGGGATGAGAGAGCGGTTGAGTGAGTAAAGAGATTGAAATTAGTGCCATTTGGACGTGAGATGAGGGTCGGCGGTGGGGATTTAGGATGATGAGGACAAGGAGTTGAGGAGGAGGGTTGAGAATGGGGGTTGAGGACGAAGAAGATGAAAGAGAGCGCATGCAGAAAGGTAATGCGAGATTGCCGTGTGCTCTCACTTCTATTGGACAAAAAGACGAGAGGAAGAACAGCAGGATCAGGAGACTAGGGGATGAGAGAGTTGGAGCGGGAACAGATGGACGAGGTGAAAGTGAAAGAAAAAGGGAATGGGGAGGGGAGTTGGAGGGTGGGAAGGGAGGGAATGGGGGCGAGGGCGTACCTCGTGGAAGGATCCCCATCGCCACCCAAAGGGACTGCTGACGAAGCTGGTAGAGGGAGAGAGTTGAACATTAAATGGGGTGAAGAGACAAAGGTGGAGAGGGTCAGGTGGGAGGAAAGGGGGAGGCACGGATTCTGGGAGAGGTTGAGGAGAAGCGAGTAGAAGAGGGGGGAGGGAGAGGGGTAAGGAGTACAAGAAACTGCAACGGTATTGAATGGGTCAACGTTGCAAGGTTGGGCATTGAGTAAAGCAGCACATGAAACATTAGGCCCATCATACAGGAAAAAGCAGTGCTATAGCCCACTCTAAGAAAGTCGGTACGTACATATCCCCGCGAAGTCTTCCAAGCTTGGAACCATTCCCCATTCCTAGCTCCCCTCCCACCCCCCCCTTTTTTCACTCTTCCCTACCCTCCACACCCTCTCTCTCCCACAGTGCCCCATCTTCCGCCACCAGATCAAACCCGAACACAAGGTGACGTTAGGCCGACTCAAGGGTTCACTTCCCCCCCACCTCTCCCTTCCCTCCCCTCTCCCTTCCTCCCGACCCTTTCCCTCCTTCTCCTGTCCCCACAACGCACCCGTCAACAACAGGGCAGTTGAATCGCAGCCAGCCGTCCATTGACTTGGGGAAGCCCTTGGGGCCCCGCCTCCACCGCCCTGTGCGTGGGAGAGGAGACGCGAGAAAGGAGGGAAGGCGATGGGGGAGAAGAGATGTGGGGG